GAGTTGAAGTCCATAAGTCTTAAAGCTGTCAAGTTTGAAGACCCCTGATTTAGAGACTGTTTGAAGTTACAACAGACCTCCCTAGGGCTACATAGCCTGGATTTGACGTTCTGGTGCCCCATCTCCCTCCCCCAACCCCCCAAATCAAGTGATCATATAATGCAGGGGTCCCCAACCTTGGCCACTTTAAGACTTGTGGACTTCAACTCCCAGAATTCTTCAGCCAGCTAGGCTGGATGAGGAATTCTGGGAGTTGAAGTCCAAAAGGCTTAAAGTAGCCAAGTTTGGAGCCCTTTGATATAATGGATGCCCAGCAAGCAGTCCACATTTGCAACAGTTTTCAGTGTCCTGAAGTCATATCACCATGATTTACTATTGTTTTTACTAGAAACCAGCATTTACTTCCAGTTTGCAGCAAAACAAAAAGAAACAACCCGCCCATTGCGAGCAATGGATTCACTTAACGACCATGCATCGACTCAATGAACCCTTAACTGCCGCATATCAGATCATACAGTGGTATTCCTGCTTAATGACTGGCATGGCTTATGGCCATAATTCCGGGCTCAGTCGCAGTCGTAAATCGAGGACTACCTGTATGAAGTCTCTGAGAGAACGCTGTTGTGTAAAGACAGAAGATTGGGCACAACCCACCTTGCCTGACGATTTAATCCCTCTGATCATGGCGAGACAAACCAGCATCCAAGCAGCAAAGAGGCAGCCAGTAAGGGCTGGGTCAAGACCCCCGCTCTCCTCTATGGAGTTGGTAATGTGCAAGGCCTTTCGGTTCCAAAAATAGATAGTGGGAGAACTGTCCATGCATTCAGATTCTGTGACTGAAAAGAGAGAGGGAGGGAGGGAGGGAGAAAGAGGGAGAAAAGAAAGACAGACTGTCTGTTAGGGTTAGGGACAAATGACCAGCTTTTCCTTTTCCAATTATGTTGTAATAAAGAAAACAGGATGTTTATTTTGGAATGTTGTGGACAAACATGCTTGTTCAGTACTGTACATCTAAATATATTGGTTTCCAGAATGCTTCTCATCCAAATGGATGTTTCTTTTTTTCATTTCATGTCAGTTCCATGTTATTTTAGAACTGTGAGGGTTATAAAACTGACTATACAGCAAATATCAGCAGAGGGCTTTTTTCTTTCTTTCACTAACTCTAGCCAACCAAATATATAAATGCAGAAGTATTTTCAGAAAAGGCAATGAGGTTATTTCCATTTTGAGGCTTGTATCCTTCAGTCTTCAGTTCCTGCACTAACTATTGCACTTGAAATTTATTGTAATTTGATGCATTCAAATGTATTTTCCCAGAATGCAGACATAGAGTGCCTTTTTGCATGCAGAAAGTCTCTATTTCAAATTATAATCTATTTCTTGACACTTAAGTAGGGTTGGGAAAATCTGCAAAGACTAATACCATTTGGGTGTAAGACACTGGATGCCACTGGATAACTGGATGACCCCAATTGCCTATTTGGCCTAAGGTAGCTTCCAATGTGTCTCAAGTTCTTGCTAATTTTTTCCTCAACAATTCAAGTGCTGTGTTGGCTTTCCAGGGTGAACAGATAAAATATGTCAAGTCTTTTCACAAAGATAATCAACTATAATTAAAAAATCCTCTCTTCCAATGTCTGCTCTCAATATCCCTTCTTTTCAGAATAAAGAACAATTTATCATTAAAATGCCTCAGCTTCTGTTCTGAGCTACAAGTGCCTGTAAGCGTAAAAGTTTCTACTTTTACGTATTTCAAAAGAAATATTTTATCATAAAGAAAGACAGAGAAAATGTAAGGAATACTGTAAAGTTCAACAGTCCAGTTACCTTTCCAGCAGCGGCTAGCTAGGTAACACCCAATTAAAGAAAATTCCTCCCATTTCCAAAGTACCCAAAACAGACAATTTATTTTATTTATTTAGCATATGGTGATTGTACATTGGAAGCCAGGAGTCTATAATGTTATTACAGAATAATAGTTCGGCTGCCTTAAGATGATAAGGCTTAACAATGATAAACAATAACAACAAGAAAAGAAAAAGCCAGGGGATCTTTTTAAATAGGACTTGCTTATGACTAAACACTGTCAAAAGAGCTCAGTCCATGGAAAAGACTACTGAATATAGCAATGTTTACTGTATATATCTAAACGACAAAATCTGCATGACCACTAGATGGCAGCAATTGCTTTTGTACCATTTTCATTTTCTTTAGTACTGTGAGTTTTTCAATATTGGCAAGTGTGGACTTCATTTCCCAGAATTCCCTAGCATGCATATTGGTGGGAATATTTTGGGAGCTGAAATACTTTCATTTTTAATGTTGCCATGGTTGAGAAGTATTGTTGTAACGGTTGCCTAGATTTTTGCAAGTATGGCAGTCCTAGTGGGGAATCACTGTTAATTTATTTAGACAATTTGTAAAGGACATATAGTATAGAAACTATTCTTATTTAACTATTGCTGTATGGAGGTGACTTTTCATGGCATTGGGGGGAGAAACTTTTTAAGAGATCAAATTTAATTCCTGGTAACCTGTTAAGAACTAAAAAGATTGATATGTTCCAGCTTAGCCTACTTGTTTATTTACAATCTTCCATTTCTATATTCAGTTACAATGGCACTGAAAAATATGACTTGATAGTTTTGTACAATTACAACTTTTGCAGCACCCTGATGACCATGCGATCAAAATTCAGATGTTCAGCAACTAGTGAGTATTTATAACCATTGCTGTGTCAACTTTCACGACCTTCCGATAAGCAAGAGCAAAGGTGAAGCCAGATTCACTTAACAATTGGCTCTATATGCTTATCTTATACCAGACCAGATAACAGATAACCAGAGTTAGAAGGGACCTTGTAGGTTATCTAGCCCAACCCCCTGCCCAAGCAGGAAACCCTACACCGTTTCTGACAGATGGCAGTCCAGTCTCTTCTTGAAAGTTTCATCAAGTGAGTCTCTCCCTTTTCGTCCACTCTAACAGCAACTCTCAGTGGTTCAAAAGTGTTTTGCTCAGGCCTATCTAGAAATAAAAAATGATATGCTTATCCTTTGAGTTAAAGCATATGTCCAACATTTTTGGCTCCACACGTTGAATAAAGAGAAATTTTCTTGGGATGCACGTAAAGCACAGTATGTAAAGTTACTGTATATAAATCACATAATAATGGTAAAAGTTTACAATGTTGTGGGAGCACATTACTAGCTGTCCAGGGCCACATGTGACCAATAGATAGAAGCTGAAAGTTAATTAGGAGGGAAAGAGCTGGTTAAACCATTGTTCCACCCCATATTTTAAGCTTTGGGAACGGTGTGGAGGAATCCTTGTTAAAAGCAGATAATTCTGTGATACAGAGATGCCACAAACACGGGAAAGGCCACAAATGGCTGTTGTTTCCTGTGTTCCCACTTACCTATAGCTGTTTCATTTTCTGTTCCAGGGCAATCACTCCACGGAAGGGGAAACTGGAAAGAATTACCCAAGTAGAAAAGACTCCATGCCATAATGACATTATAATATAGGGCAACAAAAGAACACACCTAAAAAAAAGCAAAATGAATTAGCATTCCACATTGTCCCTGGACATAGATACAGCTGCTTTGATGAAGAGGGACAAACTACAGATTATGTCAAAAATGTATGAAAAGGAATGTGTTTAGAACATGCTAATCTTCTTCTGAAATATTCCTATTTTCCAAAGTGGAGTTATGCATTTTTTTCCCAGACTGATGGATTAGTCATTCTAAACTTCTCCAGGTTGAGGATTACAGGAAGCAGGCCAAAACAAAACTAAATTAGGTTTGATTTTATCTATGATTTCATTAATTCAAATTAAATATTTTTAATAAGGTAGTTCTCCAGCCATGTGTTCTTTTCCTTCTGTCACATCACAAGCAATCACAATCTGAAAACATTTGAAGATGCAGTGGTTGCTAAACAAACCTACTGTTTGCTATGGGTTGCTTTTGCTAAAAACTGGAAATAAATGTCAGATTTCAGCCAAAAAAACCTTTGCAAATTTTGATCATGGGACATTGCAAATGGCTGCAAATGCAGGCTTACTGCTGAGCACTCAAAATGTGTTCAATTGACCACAAAGAGCCTTCCTTGCTATTGGAACTTCAGAAGTAGGTTAGGTAGCCACTATAATTTTGAACTGTTGCAAAGCAACCGGTTGTAAGTCAAAAATTACTTGTACTCTCTCTTTTAGACCATAGGAGTATGCTTGTAGGTAGTAGAGCGTAAACATTTCCACCCAATAGATAAGACAACCTTTATCGTCACTTTTTTCTAAGAACACACTGGGCTACGTGAAAAAAATGAAATTCTGATGCCCACTCTCAAAAGCATACACACACACAGAGTACACATACATGCACATACACATACACAATCACAGACCATTTAGAACAGAGTTCCTCAATGTTTCCAGCTTTGCAAACTGGCGGAGGGTGGGAAGAGAATAGTTTGCACAAGCGGCCAACAAGCGTGCGTGCAGCTATATTTGTGTGCATGCGCAGTTCACGCAGATGGAGCACACACACATTCGCTCACTCACTGCTCATGCCAAGTGAAGATGAGCACGCGTGCTGGCCATTTCCATGGCCCAGTTGCAAACCCCTCACAGACCATTAGTGGGCTACAGCCCACCACCTGGGGACCCTTGATTTAGAATACATAATGGGAAAAAAAGTCCTGAGATTAACAAGGTTGATGCTATATGGTATAAAGCTATTATAGAATCTAGTTGTTCTGCTTTGGATGGTGCAAAGCTTCGTCCCAGAAGCTAACAAAGAAATAGCTAATATAGGGAATAATAGGGAAGATATATAGGCTGTAAGCTGCCAGGAGTTGCCTGGTGGCAAGATAAGCAAATAAAATCAATAAATAAATAAAATAAAAAAAATCCTTTTGATTACTAGAAAGATTAACCAATTAATATTTTTCACACCGGTTGGTTTATTCCGAAGGACTTTTTTTCTTCTTTTTTCCAAGACATATAAATAAGTGTCAGACTTAGAAGAATGGTGATATGGCACTCACCACACAGCTTGCAAAGCCGATGCCTATTAGCCGAGGGCTGATGTGTTTCCAGACGCCAATGCTGCCCTGCCGGATAATCTGCCCAGCGGCCAGTTCCAGGAAGAAGAGAGGGATTCCAATCATAAAGAGCAGCAGCAGGTATAAAAGCAGAAAAGAACCTGTCCAGCAACAGGAAACATTTTACAGATTCCAGTCATTCTGGCAATTATTCCACAAACTACAGTCAATCAGGCTAATCTAAGAGAAAAAATGATGCACCAGTAAACTAGTAGAGCTTTTTTGTTTTTTGTTTATATATCCCTTTAGGTCAGTTTTTGACTTCTGCTTGAACAAGTCCATGCAGTATTTTTGGCAAGATTTTAGAAGTGATTTACCATTGGTTTCTTCCTAGGGCTGACAGTGAGTGAATGGCCCAAGTCACCCATCTATCTGGTTTTATGCCTAAGGTTGGACTAGAATTCAGAATCTCCTGGTTTGTAGTTTAGTGCCTTAATCACTACACCAACCTGGCTGTAAGCAGGGTAAGCCAACCCCAAATACTGCCCTTGCTTGCTAAAGAATGGATCTTCTTCTTTAAATACGCCTTCTGCCCTTCATTTCTCTTAAGAGATGAACATAGTTTATGGATCACATTCTGAATATCTCTTGCATTTATGCCTCTGTTCTCTTTCTGTGCTACTTCCCCCCCCCCCACCCCCGAAGCACCTGGCAAGATTATTTAATCAGACATTTATACCCATATATAAAGCATGGGTCCCCAACCCTGGGCCACTATCGGGCCACAGCCTGTTCAGAACCAGGTTGTGCAAGTGGCCCTTGCATGCAAAGCTCCATTTGTGTGAGTAGTGGGCTGTGTACACATGCGCCTACCACTCACACAGAACAGCCTCTCCCCCTCGCCAGGTCACCAAGCTGGAAAGGTTGGGGACCGCTGCCTTAAAATGTTGAACCATTTTAAATCTGATGAAATGGATCACATGTATGATTTGTTGTTACAGTTCAAAGAAGATTGTTTAAAAATACCGTTCCCAAATGTTTTAGAAAGGGAGATAATTTTCTTCATTGGCAAAAGCATCAAGTTCACACAACGCTGTTTAGAAACTGAGCGTGTGGTGATCTTGTAAGTTTGTCCTGGGTAACTAGATAACTAAAATTGTGAAAATCCAGGCTGTCCAATACTCACACCAAAAAGAGTATCCAAATGATAGAAATGTATTCTGTAACAAATGCACCACTTCAGTTGTCTGCCTGTTTTTGGCCAAACTGCTAAAGTGGTCTATTTGCTATTTCTCAAATTTGTATTTTAATTCAGAAAATCATTCTTTTTAGGGGACTGAATATCTAAGTTTTAGATATTACATACGGATAGAATAGTAAAAGGATGAATATACAGAAATTAGAATAGTGCTTTATAAGCTGCTACTTCAGTTATTTCTGAGAAGTCATAATTTCTTAGAAATAAGGAGGAGAATCTTGCAGTAGAATCCAAGTCCAAAATTTGGCAGAACTGCCCAAGTCAACTCACCTCCACCATTTTGATGGCACAGGTAGGGGAAACGCCAGACGTTGCCGAGTCCAACAGAAAAGCCAACCTGGGCGAGGATATACTGAGCCTTTGACCCCCAGGCAGGGCGGGCATCTGGTTTCTCAGACAAAAGATCTTGACGGGATTCACCCTCAGAGTCTCCAGCTACTTCTAGGTCTGCTTTGGATTTCTCCATCAAGGGAGAGAGAGTATGCAACCCAAACACACCAATGTGATTTAGAACTTATGTTCCTGTCAAATTCACACCCCTAAATAGAAGTCTCTGCTTGATTAAATGTACACAGCAGATTTCCCTCTTCCCTGATCTAGAACTCTTTTCAAGTGTAGTACTATAAAAAGCTTAACTACACTCTTCTAAGTGTATGGAATCTTTGCACGTTGACAATATATCCCTTATTTACTAGGAAATGTATGCTAGCACGTCAGGTATTTAGTATATGAAAACAGCTTTTTGCCCTCACTCTTTCATGAAACTACAGAGACTAGCATGTCCTAAGTATATCTAAAAAAATAAAAAATAAATAAAAAATAAAACCTCTCTCTCTCTCTGTGTGTGTGTGTGTGTGTGTGTGTGTTATGTGTGTGTATTAGCACAATACAAGAAGTCTTTGATTATATGTTTAGCATGTATTTCAATTAACTTATCTGTCTTCAGCCAGATAACCTATCAAATGTATTTTGGGTCACTGTGTGCACTGTTCATTAGCAGAACTTTAAATGAGGGGAAAAACTTTATTTGACTTAATGAACTGCACACGTAATATGATTTAGTTATATACACATGCTGGAGGATGTTCTTCAAGAAGAAATCTAGAAAAAGAACAGTGACAAAAAGGTTGCATGAATGGACAATCCACCCAAAACGATTTATTGAAATGTCAGGATTAATTCAGAAGGCACAATCCTGGCTCTAAAACACTAGTTTGGAAAAACAGAAACATTCCTCAAATTCAAAGAATTGCCAGATGTATTCTTTTGTATTAGTGTTTTTCAACCTTGGCAACTTTTAAGATGCATGGACTTCACCTCCCAGAATTCCAAGCCAGCTGGGGAATTCTGGGAGCTGAAGTCCACACAGGTTAAAGTTCACAAATTTGAGAAACACTGGTTTATATCTATATCTATCATTATCTAATCTATATCTCTATCTAATGTCTCTCTCTGTGTATGTATGTGTATGTGTTTGTATTTGTGTGTTCCTTTTTCTTGCCTGGACAAACTAAAGGTGCCACCAAACCAGGAACTGAAATTTAATTCAAAATGTAGGTTCAACCAGGTCAGAAGTTTAAGGATAATTTCCACAGCTCAGTTTGAATGTAGCTTGCAGGATGAAGAATGAAAATTGGGCCTCCATCTTCTCAGTAAATTACTACAGCAAACATAAAACCAACCTGGTTACTGGCCACAAAGGGATCCAAAAGTAAAACTTTCTGTTCCAAGGGAAAAGTACCACTGATATAGTTCTGGAGAAAGGACTAAAAGGCACCAAATAATTGCCTCAGCAACTACATCTGAAGAGGAATGCCTTTAAAAATTCAGCCTGGCGTCATTGGGGATAAGAATGTTCTGTGAAGAACTTATCAGTTTGTTTTGACAATATCAATCTGATCTCCCTTCCCTTCTTTTGTGAGTCTAGACTTTTGGCTGATAACCTTGAGGATAGGGTCCATGCCCAATTTTAATTGAAATATCAAAGTAAATTCTGCGGAGCAATGCATTTCTGAATTCTGATGTGAGTTGTAGGG